CACAAAAGGTGACCACTGTTCTAAAATACCCAGACACCACAAGATGAAACAGAACAGAGAAGAGGGACTATTTACCTCTACTCAGCCACTGTGAACATGCTATTTATAACATTTCAACAATTCCTACATAAATACCAATACTCCTATACTCCACAATCTGGCACTGAAATACGTGAGCTTATCAGATAGAAATAAACTGTTCTCTGTGTGAGGACAGCCGAGCATGGGAATCACGCTCTGGGCTCCTTGGCAGGGGACAAACGGCCGTCCACAAGCTGCCTCTGCTCATTTTCCTGCCCCACTGACACTCCAAGAGCATACGGCCCACAGCCCTATCACACTGGCCATTAAGCAGTGAACTCCACGGAAGGGCAGGCAAAAGTGCCTGCGCACTTTGGGGTGGGCTTACTTCCGAGGAAAGGGACCTCAGCTCTTGACAGATTCCCAAGTGTCAGGTGCCATCAAAGATGACTGTCAAGAAAAAGTGCACAATTTAACTAGAATTCTTACTCCTCCCCTAATCCCACCACTAATCAATTACGAGCTGTTCCACATAAAATGAATCACACAACTACGTCTGTGTCACTGAAAACGAAAGACAAAAAGCAGCTTTCGAATAAAGAATAAGAAATGAACAGGAAATGTGGCAGTTGATTCTTTGTATCAGGTGATGAAGTTGATGTAACGGGAGGCAAAGTGGCCTTCGAGGCCAGAGGAACACTGATGAGAGTGTCCCACCCACCCACTGAGCACAGGCAGCAGGGAACTGCCAGTTTCCATGGAAACAGAGTGGAAAATGGCAGAGTCCTCGACTTCCCAGGGCTTATTATAGTGGGGAAGACATCCCAGCAAAGTTGACTTTCTTAAAATAAGTCTGTGCTAACAGCCTGAAATGTAATCAAAAGACATTTGAAGAACCTGATAAAGAAGTCATAGGAAGGAGTAATTCCAGGTCTGGAAAACAAACCTCTTTTTTTGCATCTTCCAGACTGGCATCAGGACAAATGACGACGTCTCGGCTACACTGTACTGGGTCTTTCCCAGCCAGACCCGCGATGGTGACTTTAATCTAAGAGAAAGATGTCATCACATTTAACATTGAAACATAAATTTAGAGTAACATTTTCACAGCTGCTGTTTTAAAATAACTTGGCAGGAAATACTGCAACAAAACCATGCTGACTTTAAGCTAGTAAGTTAGCTAAATATAATTAATAACTAGGTCTATCCCAGTTCGCCTGGGACAGTCCTGATTTATAGATGCTGTCTTGGTACCCTGCCTGGTCAGTGTCCTTTCTCCCACAAGTGTTCTGCTTTGGGCGATCATCCTGTTAATAATCCATCTTGCAAAGTTATTGTCGCTATTTAGATCTCATGGCATTTCCTTAAGATAGAAAGACAAGTTAAAACAATGAAATACTACTTTAGCTTGCAAAAATTTACAAAGTTAATAAAACCAAGAGCTGGTACTGGGAAAATGGGAATTTTCCTATACTGCTGGTGGGCCCACGTTGGTACTTTGGGGAGCCATTTGCCAAAATCTGGTAATGCTGTCCTTTGGCCAAGCAATTCCACTTTCAGGCATAAAATCAGGAAAAACTTCCACACGTTTGCATAAGGAAACCTGTACAAGTATATTCGAGTATTATAATGTCCTGAAACAGCGGAACAGAAGCATGGATAGACTGCAGCACATTCATATAACATAATAATAGGCAGCAATTTTAAATAAACAAACCGGATCTAGATGTGTCTTCATTCACGAGAACCAGAGAAATGGGTTAAAAGACTCTGGGGTCAGACTGCCAGGGTCGAAGTACTGGCTCTTTTCCTTACTAAGTTTACAAACTTAGCTAGTGTCTCTGTGCCTCAGTTTCTTCAACTGTACAATGAGGACGGCAATAACTCATAGGGTTGTTATAGGATTTAAGCAAGTTTATGTAAATGCTTAGAATGACACCTAACATCAGTAAACGCTATTTAAGTGTTCACTACGGATATATATACATAGAGAGAAAGAGACACATGCAAAATACAACTGCAGTCTAATGCTATTTTGAAGACATGCATGGGATGGATACACATCAATGAGAGGACAGTTATCTCTGGGGCCAGAAGGGGAATAGTACCGGGGAAATTTACAAAGAGTGCTCTGCAATGCTTTATTTCTTTAAAGCACCTGTTCCTCAAGAAGTGGGTCTACAAGAAATATGGCAAAATGTTAACAAGTATTAAATGTGGACAGTGAATAAACAGGTAATTATTATACACTGTGTTTTTGTGTGTTTGAAATATTTTATAAAGTACACTGAATATTATTTTATTAAGAATGACTGCAAAACCGTGGCACGGGTGGCTCAGTCGTTAAGCATCTGCCTTCGGCTCAGGTCATGATCCCAGGGTCCTGGGATCGAGCCCCGCATCGGGCTCCCCGCTCGGTGGGCAGCTCGCTTCTCCCTCTCCCATTCCCCCTGCTTGTGTTCCCTCTCTCGCTGTCTCTCTCTGTGTCAAATAAATAAATAAAATCTTAAAAAAAAAAAAAATGACTTCAAAACCCAAAAATGTTTGAAAAAGGGGAGGGCTAGAAAACGTTGGGGGACTTACTCCAGCTCGCCTCATGACATCTACGGGGATGACTGTCTCCATCTCCTCTGCTCCTTTGGCCAGGATGACCAGAGCTCTTTTCGAAGCCATTTTTATGTTGTATTTTTTAAAGACTTACTTAAAAAAAGAAGAAGAAGAATTTCAAAAAACTTTGCATTGCAACCTTAAAATAGCCCCAAACTTCAAGTTTAGGAACATTTTTAAGCAAAGTAACTAAGTGCCTCCTACGGAAAACGTTCTGATAAACAGAACGTGAAAAAAGCACTTTAGGGTAATACTGGTTTACACATTCAACTGCTGTTATTTTGAGATGCGAACACAGTAAGGTTGCTAACACGTGTTAGCACTGTTTGGATTTTCTTTTACCACGTTTGTTCGTTTGTTTGTTTTTTAAACAAACCCAATATACAATAACTTATTGCAACCAAAATTTTCTACAACACAAATAGACGGGTCTTGCATTTCACAAAATGCGGGGATAGTCTTATTTTGGAAATACTATTTCAGAGAAACGACTAAACTTAATTTCATGGGCAAAAACCTACAGACACAGTCTTTAGCAATGAGCCGGTGAGATTTTTGGAGGGGATTTTCTTTTAAGTTCCAATAACTTCACTAAAAATTCTGGAACGTTAACAGTGCTAAATATTTCACCTTTTTTTTAATGATGTAGAAAGATGGGAATTCCCCCACTAAACTCAACCCAACTGGACCCGCTCTTTACACTTCACTCTCTCGTTGTAGAGGGCAGCTGCCAAGCGGGGGTCCGAACAGTTTTTAGCCTGTTCTTTTTGTGGAGTTTGCTGTCCATGCAAAACATACGCTAATGAAACCACTTCAGCAAACACAGCATTGACCAGTTGCAAACTGGTGGGATGCCATGCACAGAACCCCGGAGAATACGAGGCCGTTCCGTTTGTTCCTGCCGGAAGGCCGCACACCCCGCAGCCGCGGCGGGACCCCGTCTCCGGCGCCGCCTTCCAAGCCCGCCCCGGGCTGCCCGTGGCCCCCTCACCACCCGCAGCGTTCCCCATACCGCAACCCGAACCTCGACTCTGTGCCCACAGACAAGGAACCTCGGCCCCTTCGGCAGCAATTCCGCGCCGGGGACGACCGAATCACAACCGGACTAAACGGGGACGCACACGAGCACGCACGCACGCACGCACGCACGCACGTCGCCCGCGCTCGGGCCCTCAGAAGCGCACTGCGCAGACGCACGCCGCTAGGCTTCTCGTTCTGCCCCACCCCTCGGTACTACGCAGACGCCCGCCGCGCAGACCCCTCCATGTTCTCCCCCTCGCCACCCCGGCCCTGCACTGCGCAGACGCACGCCGCCTGGCTTCTCATTCGGCCCGTCCCCCCGGTACTGCGTAGACGCACGCCGCCCAGGCCCCACCTCCTCCTGCACTGCACTGCAGACTGGTGCCGCTCGCTCGCTTACGTTACATCCGGCTGAACCCACCTAGGGCAGCCGAGGGGGACGGCCGGCCTTTCCGAGTCCTCACTGTGAGTCCAGGGATGTTTCCATTTGGAACACCCAGCACCACGAGAATCCCGCTGGCTCACGCACCCTCACGAAATCTCCCCCGCCCCGAATGGCGCGGTCCGGCCCGCTGCCGGCGCCCGCTGGAGTTAACCCGCTTGTCGCCGCAGCCTGGAGGCGCGCAGTGCCCTCGGGAGCTGTGGCGTTTTGCTGTGAAGGGGCGTTTTCATGGAGTGGCGTTGTGCCTTCACGCTTCTTCCGCGCACTCGGTTCCCCTTCCCTGGAGCACTTTCCCGTGTCCCCTCCGACCTATTATGACTTAAAGGTGTTCCCGATCTTGTGTCCCCCCACGGTGGGTCACCGGTTCCCCGAGCCTGTGCGACTCTTAGCATTTGTGTGCGTGCGTTAATTTCACGTGTGTTAGTTTCTCAAGGGTGTTTTATCCCAAAGATCCCAGTGCTGCTTCTGCACCCACAGGATTAGAGCACTGCTGAGCACATGGACCTGATAGTTACATTGAACAGTCCCCTTGTCCCCATCCAGTTCCATCCCTGCTCCCAGGCTCCTTGCGGGTAACGTTATATTAGTTTCCTGAGCATCTTTCCAGGATTTCCTTATGCAAGCACAAGAAAATACATTGTTTTACTTCTTTCTCATAGAAATGTAGCAGACTATATACATTGTATTGTCCTTCTCTCCCTGCCACCACCTTATTAAGTGAATATGTTGGAGATCTTTCCTTATCAAAAGGAACTTCCTTTTTTACAGATAGTATGCCATTGTGACATGTCTCATAGTTTATTTATCGGTGCCCTACTGATAACACTTAGTTATTTCCAGCTGTTTTTTTTTTTTTTTAAGTAGGTTGTCCGCCCAGCATGGAGCCCAACCTACAGCTTGAACTCTCAACCCTGAGATGAGGAAGACCTGAGCTGAGATCAACAGTCAGATGCTTAACCAACTCAGCCACCCAGGCGCCCCTGCAGTCATTTTATTGTACAGACAGCATTGCATTGAATCACCTTATTCATATGTCCTGCTTGTGTAGGTAAAACTGGAGGGTAAGTTCCCAGAAGTGGTAAATACATTGGAGCAACTCCATACAAGTTGAGTCACTTATCACTCTTGCCAGTAATGTGAGGTCAAACAGTATTTTAAATATGTCGGTGTTTTTGAAATTTCAGTTTAGCTATTAAAAACATTTATTTTCAAGAAATAACTTACATTCCTTTGTTAGTTTACAGAGCGCTTTAATATATTTCATGAGATCCTTACAATGATGGTTAGAGTGGTTTTTAATAATTTTAAGAATTGTAAATGTATAAATTGCAACACTGCTTTGTGCAAAATTTTTAAGTGTCTTTAATCATTTGGCATTTTAAGAAAACATTTTGGGAGTTCTGGAATAACTTCATCTTTGGTTATTTGCAAAGGAAGCAGGCAAAAGCCACCCCCTTTCAGTTTTGAAGTATGGTGGGAAGTAGGCAAGTGGTCAGATGTGTGTTTCAAAAACCAAGGAGGGATTTAGGTAGATGAAGGAAAACCAAGCGAAGATGGGCTGTTGTGTTCCAGTGCCCGGAGTAAACTCTTATAAGGAGACAAGCATGCTGGTGGCCTGCTGCAGCATGAGATAGCCAGCACAAAACAAAAATGGCAAGACAGTCTTCGTGGTGAAAGGGAGAGAGAGAATGAACCTGACTTAACACTCCTGAGACATCTGGATCACCATCAAGATCTGAAATGGACCTGGGTCAGCATCGATTTTATCAAAGAATACATTGCATGCGGTGTTTACAACTCAAGTATTGCTTGTGGTGGATTATCTTTTAGAAATATTCACCCTTTCCTCTTTCACCTTCTGAGTGGAGGATATTCCCTGCCCTTTGACTTTGGCCTTGTTTTATTTATTTTCTAAGGTTTTTACTTTATTTATTTGAGAGAGAGAGAGCAGGGGGAGGGGGCAGAGGGAGAAGCAGACTCCCTGCCAAGCAGGGAGCCTGATGTGGGGCTCGATCCCAGGACTCCAGGATCATGATCTCCGCTGAAGGCAGACGCTTAACCAACTGAGCCACCCAGGCATCCTAGATTTGGCCTTGTTTTAGCTAATAGAATGTTAACAGATGAGGCCTGAGCAAAGCCTTGAAAAGCATTGACCTGGTGACCAGGCTTGCTCTCTTGTACTTTCGCACTGTTACATGAAGAGCTTTCCTCCAGGGCTGCTGCTGCTGCCCATTCCGCCTGGGTTTCAGAATGAACACCTGTGGAACCTGTACCTGTGCTCGAGGCAGGCACCACAGCCAAATGGCAGACCGTAGTACTCAGATTTTGTTATGCCACGATAGCTCAGTGATAAGGCTTTAAAAGGCTCATAATGAAAAACAGCAGTCTTCTGACTCAGTCCTTTCTACCCCTCAACCCTGCTTTCCAGAGGCAAATATTTTCAACTCTTTAAATTATTTCTTGTAATTGTCTCAATACAGTTGACCCTTGAACAGCATAGGCTTGAACTACATGGGTCTGCACAGACATTTTTCGATGAACACAGTTCAGTACTCTAAATGTATTTCCTGTTATGATTTTTCTTTTATTCGAAAGAAAGAATGAGCACAAGTAGGCGGAGGGGCAGAGGGAGAAGCAGACTCCACACTGAGCAGGGAGTCCGACAAGGGGCTCAATCCTGGGACTCCGGGATCATGACCTGAGCCAAAGGCAGACGCCCAACCAACTGAGCCACCCAGGTGTCCCTCTTATGATTTTCTTAACATTTTCTATTTTGTGGCTTACTTTATTATAATAATACAGTATATATAAAGTATAATGAACAAAATATGTGTTAATTGACTGTTTATGTTATTGGTATGGTGTCCAGTCAGCAGTGGACTATTAATAGTTAAGTTTTGGGGGAGTCAAAAGTTATATGCAAATTTCTGACTGCACAGGCTTGGGGGATAGGGGGTGTTTGGTAGCCCTAACCCTTACATTGTTCAAGAGTCAACTGTATTTTTAAACAATATGCTAATACTGTTATTTTTCCTTATTGGTTTAGACGTTATATATTAACTTCCCGGAAAACATACTTTTCATCTCACAGCTGCAGAGGTTGGAGTCTGGAAGGGTGAAATGACTATAAAAGGTCCTGCAGAGTCTTGGTCAAATTCAGATATTCTGATACCAAAGATCACACTCTACCCACCATAAACTCTATAAGTATTACTTAATAAGTCCACAACACCCATGACACTCTCTTAACTTTCTGGTTCATACCTATTTCTCATCACACATTTGCAGAATAAAACAAAACATTAAACCATCCACCAAAAAATGTTGCTCTATTACTGGCAGTGAAGACACCTCCTAATTCAGTCCCTGATTTCCAGGCAGAAAAACCTCATCCTATTCACTATTTTTTTTATTCAACATTTGACAAGTCTTTATGCATTGTAAGAAGTGCAAACTAAAAGTCTCTGGCTGTTTTCAGGGAGCCTAAAATCTCCTTTTTCTTGCAGCACTTGCAACATTTAATTAAAAGATACTGTTCTGCCTTGGTGAGCTCCTAATCCAGCAATGGAGAAATGATATTGATAATGTGAGTGAAGGAGTTTGGGACATGCTCCCTCCAAATATGTCACCTTGGCATATTGATTATTTTGAGCTAAAGGCATTTTTTTAAACAACAGGTGCAAGAAAGGCACTCAGATTCCCATTTTTTCATCCTGAAAGCAGAAGATGAAACTCTTAGGTGAGAACTGCGCTTCCAGTGCCGAGAGGAAAGAAACAGCACCAGAGAAGCACTTGAGTCTGGAAGAATTTGCACATGGAGACCTTGTTAAAGTAACTCATATTCCTTTAGTCTCCCTGTTTTACTTTACTTTTCCACAGTTGCCACTCTTTGTTCAACCCAGTATGTAAACATTAGCTTTGCCACCTCTTTGGGTCTTCATCTTCTTATGAAGGCTCCTGGGTCTCGTAAAATTTGCATTAAATAAATTTGTATGCTTTTGTTCTGTTAACCTTTTATGTCCATTTAATTCTCAGGCCCTGCCCACCAGAGACCCTAAGGAGGTAGAGGTGAAATTTTTGCCTGCCCTACGTTAACAACAGCCACCAGTGGCCATTCTGATCCTGGTTCCAAAAAACAACCCTCCCCCAAAGTAGACTGGTCACAATAAATATTAAAGAAACTGCTGCTGGGTTACTTATCTTTCCACGCATCCCTTACATTTCGCATCTCATCTCACTAAATACTCATTTTCTATGAATGCGGATGTGTCTTTTATCTCACTAAGTACTTAGCATCTTGTCTTTTGTTTACTCCTCTGTTTCCCTCTAATCCTGTGAACTCAGTAGGACCTTCCTGTCTTCGTCACTACTGAATCCCTACCATCTACTACAGTCCCTGGCACATAGCAGGTCCTCAAAAAATACTTGCTAAGCATTATCTTAGTTTCACCCTAAAGATGTTCCCTCCTTTGACTATCGCTATAGAGTAATAGTTTGTATTTGTACAACACTAGAGTTTACAATGGGGCTCCAACCAATTTCTTATTCCTATTTTAATCTTTTCCACAACAAATTCATTTCGCCAGACAGCGAATGGGAAATTTTATGTGCAGCGGATAGGGTCACTTTATTTTCACCCTTTCCTAGGTTCACTAAAAAGGGCGAGGGGCTAAATTGCAGTTACTGGGTATAAGGAAGGCATTTGCGGCATTGAGTAAAAGTATTTTTCAACATCCACTAAAGGCTGGTTCGGGGCAAGCTCCAGAGAGGTCCGGCAGAAACGGCGAATTTCCCCTCCGAGCCCCCGAAAGGTTAGGTCTGCGAGACAGGAGAAGAGTGGGCGAGCCCTGACATTTGAGGCAGCGCTGGCGCAAGGGGGAAATTCTGACACCGAGGTCTGTGAGGGGCCTTGGGGGGGCGGCTTCGCCTCTGCTCCCAACGGTGTGAAAGCCCACCGAGCGTGGATCACCCGGCACCACTCCTACCCCCGGACGGGCGGCCAGAGGCTGGCTGCGGACCCGCAGTGACGTCAGGCCCGCGCCGCGCCGCAGGGGGCGGGGCGGCGCGCGTTCCCAAAAGCCCGTGCGGCGCGCTCGAACCTGCGGCAGCCGGCCTCCGTCCGCGCTGCCGGCCGGAAATATCCAAACGACCTCCGGACCGCGGTGGGGTCGCCGTCACACTTCAGCGACCCCGCGAACTTCCGGGGGAGGTTGCGGCCGGCGTAGGCGAGGCAGGAAGTCGACCCTTCCCACCTCCGCATCCCAGATTGGTTCCGGTGGCGGACGCCTAAGGGCGCGCAGGCTCTGGCGCCCGGGAGCGCAGCTACGTGCAGGCTGCTGATCGCCCAGCGGTGGCTTTCTGGAGAAGCTGCAGAGCCCTGCGTCGGAACAGGGCCGTGCCGTGGGCCCCGTCCGTTCTCATTTCTCCCTGGCCCTTTGTGGACGACACCGTCCTGCTCTGCTGTTACTGCGATCTTCTCGGATCAGGATCTGGTTAGGGTTTCGATGTAGGAGTATCAAAAGCGTTAAAAACACCTTTCATTTGTGAAATGGGAATAGTAATGCCTGCCCATAGTTTGGTGAGGACCTAGTGAGAGCCTACGTAAAACAAGAGCTCAGAGGAACTGAAATGTGGGGTCCCACCTGGCTCTATCCTGTGGTGGTCCTTTATTCTAAATCTGCTGCAATGTTTCCAGATTCCAGGGATCTTGGGAACACGGTGATCCACGAGCCACAGCGACATTTCTCTCAGTGGTCGAAGTGATCAGTATTCCACCCAGCAGCACACGTTGGAATCTAGCAGAACTTTCTGAGTCCTTGCTTCTGCCCCTTGGTTGTATCCTGTGTCCCTTTCTTTTCTCAAGCCAACTTACTGCACGTGATGTTAAGCTGGGGCTGCACCCACGGTGAAAACAGAGTATTCTGGCAACCTTTGGCATAACTGCATAGTGCTGTGGATCTGCTGGCTTGGGCAGTGCACACCTACGCAGGGGGTTACAATCAAAAGAAGGTATGTGACGGTGTTCAAATCCCTCCACACTGTGGTTCCTTATCTTCCACATTCTTAACCTCTTACTCTCCCTCACTCATTTTTTCTGTTCCTTGAACACACCCTGTACTTTGCCTCCTCCATGCTTTGGCACAAAGCAGTTCCCTCCAACTGGAATGCCATCTACTTCCCTACCGGCCTTTCAAGGTATTTTCCATTTTGCAAAACCCAGTTGCAGTGCAAAGACCATATATTCCCATAGCACTTTGTTCTCCTATTACAGAATCTGTAAGGCTGGGTGGCCTTATCATAGTTATTTGGGTAAACTTCCTTCCTCTCTAGGGTGTGAAGGCTGTTGGCATGGTGTCTTACCTAGATATGCCTCACAAGACAGCAAAACTCATTCAAGAAGCTTTGAGTGCCTGTCATGTGCCCAGCGCTGCTCTGGGTGCTGGGGATACAGCAGTGAAAAAAACGCTCCCCTCCGATGGCGCTCACGTTGGTGAGAGTGGGAGAAGACAAACAGTAAACAAATGCACGAAAAGCACTACGTGCCAGGTGGTAATATGTACAATCGAGGAAAGTAGAGGGGGAAAGGAGATGGAAAACAACAGGGAGAGGAGGAAACCTTGGTGAGACGAGGGGACAAGTCATCTAGAAAGTGAGAGGACGAGATTTTAGATGAGAGAGCAGCAAAGAAGGGCCCTGAAGCGGATGTGTGTTCCCTCCGCCCAAGAACAGCAGGGCAGGCCGCCTTGAGGGGCGTGGAAGGACTTAAAGTGGGTGAAGTGGCGGGTCAGATCATGTGCACACTTGCATCAGACATTCAGTAAATGCTCGTGAATCAAATTTATTGAATTGATAAGGGATTAGAGAATAATGACAGTCACAATGAAACTTAGAAATTGTTAGAGTGGGATAGACCTCGTGGGCATATATTAGGTGTTCGCAACTTACATGTGTGTCCACTGGAACTCTTTATTTAGTGCGGCAGCATTTAATTGAAAAAAATCTCAATGAATACCGATGGTTTATGCAGTGGTCTTCCATTAAAATGGAAATCTGGAAGAAAAGGACACAGATTCTGTAGAGGACGAAATGGACTGACATGTGACTGGAGTTATTTGGTAGATAATACAGATCACCATTAAAAAGTTCAGAAGGAGGGGACGCCAGTAGGTTGAGTGTCTGCCTTTGGCTCAGGTCATGATCCCAGGGTCCTGGCTCTGTCCTGCAGGGACCTGCAGGGAGGTCCTCTGCAGGGAGCCTGCCTCTTCTTCTCCCTCTCCCTCTGCCTGCTGCTCCCCCTTTGTGCTCTCTTTCTGTCAAATAAATAAAATCTTTTAAAAAAGAGTTCAGAAGGAAACAAAATCTATCTTATGTTGTCTTGCTTTTGATTTGGAGGAAAAAAAAAAACCTTGTATGTTAGTTGACAAAAGTTGAGTTTGTGAAATAATTGGATATATTTGTGTATTTGTTCATTATAAAAGCACTTTCCTTCCCCAGGGCTAAGGTGAATGCTAGGGAGAGGGGCCACAGGCAGAAGGTGGCTTTCAGCAGAAAGTCATAAGCTTCACGACAACTTTGCTTGTTGGGGTGATCTTTCTTTGATCACAGTTGTCACTTGCAGCCCAAAGAACATTTCCCCTTAAGTGACCTGTGGCAACTATCTTCAGTGGAATTTTAAAATAGAGAACACTTGTTTACTTAATAGTTTTTGGTTACGTGCTCTTAAATTCTTAAAAGTCAATCTAGCTTCCTTCAGAAAGTGGCTACTATTGATTGCACTCTTCATCACATTTCTCAAAGTTGAAATCGGCTGTCAGTTTATTGGCAATCATTCACATAGATGAGCTCAAATGTGGTTTCCGATTCAGCTCTCAAACCACTGCATCGGCAGTCTCAGGCTCCGCTGCTGAGTCAACAGATCTTTTTATTCATTCACAGGAATGAGTAGCTCCTGAGTTAGTCATAACTAATGTTAAGGTAGCCTTGGAGTGAGAACAGCAGGGCTCCGGCCCTGGCTTCTTTCCCTAACTGTGGCTGTCCGGTGTGCTGAGAAAATACGCTGTCCTGGTTCCAGCCTGTCAGTGTTTAAGCCCACTTCTGCCACGTGATAGCTGGATGATCCTGAGCAAATTAGCTGACCCTCATGCCTTGGCCCCCGTCTATACAACAGGGATAACTTCGCAGGATTATTCTGAGGATTAAAGGAGTTAACAGAGATGAAGCTAGAACAGTGGCCTGTAGTAGACACTCTAATACTGTCATTAACACTTGGCTTGGTCACTTGAATTCTTTCAGCTTCTGTTTCTTAAACACTAGAAGAGTAACAATAGTTCTTGCCTCGTAGAATTGCTAAGAGGCTAAATAGTATGCTGAGTACAACATCTGCAATGCAGGAAGCAACCAGTAAGTGTTAGCTATTATTAAGTATTAGGAAACATTCATCAATAGTTGCAATCTGTTTAAATTCATTAGTGAAGGGCCCATAGGAGAGGAACATAGAAAGTGATAGACCATAAAAACATGCCATCTTGATGGGGATGGGGAGGGATACAAATTACGCAGACAGAGCTTTTGTCTAAAGGTGCAGTGACAGGATCCACATAAAGATTCAAAAGAAGAACTAATCAAAGACTAAGTAAGTTCCCGGAGCTAAAACTAAGTATTGAGTATATCTGTCTCAACACAAGACCTGAAAGGTAGCAAGGAGGCTGGGTACAGGGCTTGTGATCCTGGGGTTGGCAGAAGACCAAGGGGCACGGATAAAATTCAGGAGTCTGTGAATTTGGATGGGGAAGATTACATCTTTTATTTTCACTAACCTCTGGCAGAAATCTAGTATTTCCTTCAATCTTGAATTTAAAAATCGACAGAGCATAGCCAGAAGCATAGTACCTATGATATCACACCAGTGGAAATCAGTTATTTTCTTTTTTTTTTAAGATTTATTTATTTATTTGTCAGAGACAGAGTGAGAGAGCACAAGCAAGGGGAGCGGCAGAGAGAGAAGCAGTTTCCCCACTGAGCAAGGAGCCCGACTAGGGACTCGATCCCAGGACTCTGGGATCACAGCTCGAGCTGAAGGCAGACTCTTAACTCACTGAGCCACGCAGGTGTCCCGGAAATCAGTTATTTTCATATCATGTTACAGTTATTGCAGATATCTCCAAATACCATTTACACTCATGATTAATTTGAAATTATGACTCATGGTTAATTTGAAATTATGACAGGTATGTGTTAATGACAAAGTCCATATAGTACCACATTGCAAGCTGGCCTTTTAAATATTTGGTGAGTATATTTCAAAACAATTAGTTTCCTCTGTAATCCTTTGTATTTCATTTTACAAACTTAAGAATATTATTCCGTGAGGGGTAAGCATAGAGATCACAGGATGAAAGGGCCCTGTGCACAGAAAGGTTAGGAGTCCTTGTCAAGTGCATAGGGTCTGGAGCCAGCCAGCCAGGCGAACCCTTTCTCTGCTCCTTACCTTGACACTGGACAGGCTACCCAGGTTCTCTGCGCTCCAGTTTTCTCATCTGTAAAGTAAGACAAAGGCTGTTGGAAGGTATACTTGGGGAAACTATGTAAACACGTAGAACAGTGCCTTGCAGGGAGTAAGCCCTCAGTAAATGTTAGCCATCAGCAGGAAAGCATCTTACGTGAGACCCAAGGAAGGGAAGGGTAAACCGTAGGCGGGGATACACACACCAGAATGATTTCCCAAGGGAGAGAGAGAAAGCAAAGGTTAGGGCATGAGGAGGTAGGCAGGCTGTGAGACTGGAGTTAGCAAACTCATCCATTCATTTACTCATTCATTCATTCAATAAAGGTTTCTTGAATGCCTGCTACGTGCCTCTCAACACTTTCACTAACACTTGTGGGGTCTGGAGCAGGTGTAGAAATGGAACACCCATACCGTATGTCTGAATATTTAAAAGTGGCAAATCAAGCTAACGATGTGTTCTGTTTTTCTACTCCAACAGAGATGTCTTCAAAATAACACTAATAATTGTTTTTATGCCACAAAGGTGGTAAAATATCAACGGTAACCAAATTTAATTATTGCAGGTATCTGAATGTACATGGATGGTCTGGGAATGTTTAAATGGGTGGTAAAGACACACAATTCATAAATTATTATGTATTTGCTCCATAAAATTTCTTTTTCCCTGCCTTTATTTCATTTGTCATAACTGAGAACTTCACATAAATTGTGTTTTGTTGACAGTGCTGACAAAGGAGTAAAAAAACATATGTAATTGTACTCAAAGCATACAGAATTTATATGCATGTAATGTAAAATGTAAATAGATTTTTTTTCAATTAAAATTATTTTTTGTGTTTGTTTTTAAAAAGTTACTCTACCAAAAGCTTTAAAACTATCTATTAAAATAAAAAATGATAATTGATAAATATCAAATATCTAAAATTATTTCAATATATCTGAGACTTTTTATTTTTGAAATGTAATTAAATTTCATTAATTTTTTTTTTTGAGAGAAAACATGCGAGTGGGGTGGGGGTGGGTAGGAGCAGAGGGAGAGAGAATCTCAAGCAGGCTCCACACTCAGCGTGGATCCCAATGCGGGGCTCATTCTCACGACCCTGAGATCATGACCTGAGCTGAAATCAAGAGTCAGACGCTCAACTGACTGAGCAACCTAGGTGCCCCTGTTTGTTTATTTATTTAAGTCATCTCTACACCCAACGTGGGGCTTGAACTCACAACCCCAAGATCAAGAGTCACATGCTCTCCTGACCGAGCCAGCCAGGTGCCCCCAACCTTGCAGTTTTCATGTTATTTACTATGTATATGCATATTTAAAAGTAATATAAATTAATATTGCAAAGAGTTCCTCAGACTTCATTTGCAACTGTTATGAATTCCATGCTAATTCACAAGGACTCCCAGAACCACAAACAGGAACATTAATAGGATCAAGAAGATGGACACTTGGGACTTTTGGAAACTATACTTGCCATAATATTCTTGCAAAATAATAGATTATATGAGAATCTGTTACATCTCAGGTATTGCCAAATAATAGACTATACAAGAATCTATTACATTCCAAGGATTTGGCTAATTAATTTGCCTTTCCCAGCCGCAGTACTCTGGGGCTCACACTGTGCCTGCCACTCTGAGGCTGTAGCTCAGTACAGAGAGGCTGTCACCATGTATTTCCAGGTCATAGACCAAGAGCTGTGGGGTAGTGTTTTCCTTTGGTTAGCCTGGATGGTACGTGCATCAGGTTAACTATAGAACTTGCCTTAGCTTCCTGTGATGGTTTTATCAAACAAGAATGTGTTAAATGAACAGTATACAACTCCTTAAACACTCGAATCGAGCTGTGCATAGCCTTCAGTAGACTAATTGTGAAGTGGTTGATTTTGGGTAACACAGGCTGGTGAAGCTAATCTTGAGAATCTTTCCTCTCAGTAGAGACTTCTATGTCACTAGCCCAGCCTGAAAAAGTGAGCTAATTATTGTGCTGGGAAATGACAGACATCACTTTCAGAGGAGGTAATATCTCCGCCCACAGACTATCCAAAACGTAGATTAGTAAGTAACATTTAGTTAAATGAAAATAGAGTCCAGTTAAATGTCATGCAGCAATGTTAAACAGAGGACCATATGTAAATGAGGAGGCAACTTGGTTAGATCGTGACTTTGAAAGTGTTAGGTGATCAGCAATGCCATTTTTATATGGTATGAAACTCCTACATTGGGGCCAACTCTGCTGAAGCCCGTGGAGGGAATCCCATAATCATCACAGGTAAAGTGACTCTCAGAGGATACTTAGAATTTGAGAATAAGTTCTATGGACAACCCATGCATTTTCCTTCTCTTTTGCTACTTGCCCTCATTACTTTACTGATGACCAGCATGGGAAGCTAGGGAAGGCAAATTTTAAAGCAGTAAGTCTTGTAATAACAGTTACTGTTTTCTTGAGACCTATGTGCCAGGCATGGAGCTAGGTAGTTCATATTCATTGTTTCATTTAGTCCTCACTAAATGAGGATGAAGCACAGTGTTACTGTTTCTGTAAGACATGGTTGGAAAAATTGACTCAGGGAGGTTAAGAAGTTTGTCCAAGGTCATAGAGCAGAGCCTGGATTCAATCCAAGTCAGTCTGACAGCACAGCTTGGGCTCTTGCTCATGTGCCATACTCTACTGCTCCCATTATGTGTGTGTGTGGGCAGGGGCGGGGGCATAATAAAATTGGGCTAAGGTAGCAAATGAAAACCAGAATGAAGTACCACCTACCAGGATGACTATAGTAAAAAAAAAATTAATTAAAAACAAAATGAAAACATAACTCATCCCAGCAAGGATGTGGAGACATTGGAATCCTTATCCATTCCTGGTGGGGATGTACAATGGTGCAGCTGCCGTGGAAAACAGTCTGGCAATTCCTCAAAAAGTGAAACAGAATTACCATATACAGCAATTCTACTTCTAGGTATACACCCAAGAGAACTGAAAAAAATGTCCATTCAAAAGCGTACACACACATATTCAGAGCAGCATTATTCATAGTAATCAAGAAGGGGAATAATTCAAATGTCCATCACCTGATGAATGGAGAGACAACATGTGGACATCCATCCAGTGGAATATTATTCTGCTAAGTGAAAGAAGCCAAGACGCTGTATCAGTCTATGGATATGGAATGTCCAGAACAGGCAAATTCATAGAGACAGAAAGCAGACCAGTGGTTACCAGGGTCAAGGTCGGGCTGCCCTGGGGAGTGACTGCTCATAGGGATATTTTGGGAGTGACGAAAATGTTCTGGAATGATATAAAGATGAGAGTTGCACAACATAGGGAATATCAGTGAATTCCATGAAATAAACACTTTAAAATAGTGACATTTATGTTATATGAGGTATATCTTAATTTTTTTAAAGACATCTTCAGGTCAGGTCCCAGAAGTCCTTGAATAGTGGGCTATAGGATCCAGGTTTCCTTTGGTGGCCAACAGGGAGCCACAGAAACTTTCTAATGAGGATGGTGGTATGATAGGAGTCATGGAAACATGTAAACTGCATAGCACATAGCAAGTGTTTAATAAACATTAGCTCCTTTCTCTCTTCCTCCCCCAATTTGACACTAAGCCCCCATGACTCCTGGGGGAAAATAGTTCTTTTCTGTTTGGATCCTAACAGAAAGCCATCTGTTTTAGTTGAAACCACTCTTGCTATAGTTCCCCTGGTCATCTTCCTGAGGGTCCCTAGCCTCTCAATGCTGGGCAGGTTCATTTTAGTGTCCCTAGAACATCTTCCTCCTCTTCCTCCCTCCTCCTCACCACCGCTTCCTCATCTCTTTCTCCTGTACTCCTCTTCCTCTTCTTCTTTTTCAATTTTTTAAGTTTTTATTTATTTAAGTAATTTCTACACCCAAAATGGGGCTTGAACTCAGGACCCCAAGATCAAGAGTTGCATGTTCTTCTGACTGAGCCAGCCAGGAGCCCCCTTCTTCTTCCTTTTTTTTTTTTTTTAATTAAAATAATGGTTTTCTAAAAAACCCTCATAGATCTCAACTTTACCTAAAGTTATCCACCATATAAGTTCTATGCCTTCCTTGTCTCCACTTCATTTCTCCCTCCTTCTTCCCCCATCTCACCCACATAGCAAGGAGCTCAGTAGAAAGGAATCAGGTTGCCCTGGGTTCCAATCCTGGCTCCCCATCCTGCTGATTATCTGGCTAGATTCATAGGCTCAATGTTCTCATTTGCATAATGTCACTCTAATAATAATGATAATGTCAACTCCTGGGGTTCTTTTGAGGATAGTATTCATTAAAGCGCTTATTAGAGTGATGCCTGGTACATCAGCGCCCTCAGTGAATTATGGCTAGAGCATCACTATTATTATACCAGTAGGGGGTAGGGTATGGCAAAAGTGCTGATATTTCTTTAGAAGTGGATTTCATCCTTCAAATCTCAAATATGTGTAGGACGCATTAAAGGTTTTGACAAGGAGGGCTACTTTAAGTGACAACACCCTTTCCCAAAGTCATCTGAGAGATGTCCTAACAGTACATAGCTGCTTCCAAGAAATGATTTGAAGTGCCATTATCAAGGGAGGACGGGGGCTCTAGGGGATTTTGGGGTCAACAAACATCAAATGCGCGACCTCACAGAGTCGTGGCAGGAATTTCCCATGAGGCCCCGCCCCCGGCTGAGTCACCAAGCCCCTGTGTTTGACTTGCAGCGAGGGAGAGGCAGAACCTCACTGCTCTGAAGATCAAGGAGTGGAAAGTTCTTCACCAGCCCTGAGAATCTCAAGGTTTGTCTGTCTGGAACAGTCGGGGGAACGGAGTTGGGGTAAGGTTAGAAGCTTTATTCCTTTCCTCCATGTCTAGACTTTTTGCCCTTCTAATTTCTAATAACTTTTATTCCATAGCCTATTAAATAAAGATCAAGCACCTGACCCTAAAGAGATTTCTTACTTCTTAGTTTTGTTACTATAGGAGCTTCAAACCTCAAAATGGGCAAATATATATCTATTAAGAAAATGTGATCATGAGTTGAGCAGAGCAGTGCTTCAACATTTTAGCAATTGGGTGTTGAACTGTTCACATATTGTTCTGACAAAGGGGAAAGAGTAATGAGATATCTCCCCACTGAGCTGAGCTGTTAGGTAAGACTGACAGATTGTCATTTTAAGAACTCTATCTCAGAGCCAGCAAAGAGCTGGCATTGTTGAAATCTGGATGCTAATGCTAAGTGTCTATGAAAGTCCCCCAAAATTCTTGTTATTGTTATTTCTGCATTTTGGCAGAACATGGTGGAGAGTGCACGGTTAGACTTTGGCAAACCTGCACGAAGCTATGTGTGTATTCATGTTTGTCTTATCATATCAAATGTCTATGCATTTGCACCTTTTTCATAATATTCCATCATTCATTGTTTCTGAGAAGCCCCGAGTTATGGTCTTGTGGATTGCATAGGTAATGGTTGAAATGTAGATAATCCTAAAGGAGAAACCACCTCATTCTTGGAAATTTTTACCTTTTGCAGAGTGGTATTTGTGAAACCAGCTACTTTGATTAAAACCCTTTGGAATCTGCTTTGTTTATATCCTATCGATGCAAGATTTCACCATGGGCAGTGGTTATTACAACATAGTGGCTGCCGTGTTGTTGGTCATGAATTTTGAGAGGACAAGATCAATGCAGGATTCCTGTAGTAAATGCCCAGCTGGTAAGAACCAAATTAACATGTGTGTTTGATCTGTTCTGTTGAACTCATGGTTCAGTTAGTCTGGTAGTCAGGGTTAATGAGTTCTGTTTCAGTGACTTTTTAAAAATTCATTCATTTACAAATATTTCTTGGGTGCTACAACTTAGCTGTGAATGTAGCCATGTCACTTAATCCCTTGTGCCCCAGCTTTGGCATCTGGGGATAATGAAAGAACCTATCTCGTTGCTCTGCTGGGAGGATCCTATGATAGGTTCTGAACAGTGCATGGCACATGGCAAGACCTCAGTGAATGTCAGCCTTATCTGTGAGGACCTGTGCTCAGACTGGGGGGCACAGCAAGGAATAAGAAGTGGCAGGGGGCTCCACAGAGTGGGGAAGAAGCAGACAGATGTATTGTTAGTATACTGATGAAGGATGCTGATCTCCTGAATCCAGTCATATTGATCTCCTGGATCAGTCAAAAGAAATCATTTTTTTTTGTTCAATAGATAAAGGAAACTGTTTTCTTTTTGTTGGTTTGTGTGATGCAGTATCTATACTTTCTTATTTGTAATTCTGCTGCTATGCTAAAGGCAACCTTGCAAATGTATAATTATAAAAGTCAATCAAAATAAGGTCACTGTGACATCTAGAAACTAATCATGTTTCTTACTCTAGTTTTCTTGTGAACTTCATAATGCTTTGGGCGATTACTATGCATTGTCCGACAGTACACCTATTATCTACCTTCTTAGGTACTTTCTGTGGGAAAAACAAGGGTCAGATCTGCCTTCCTTGTCCTCCAAACAGTTTCTCCAGCACCAGTGGACAAACGGCCTGTGACATATGCAGGCAGTGTGAAGGTATGATTTAAAAGATGTATGTTGATTCGGACATGTGTTGGGACAACAGGTTTTTATTCCCTAGTATGTTGATCTTGGTGGAAAGTGTTAAGTGTTAACTATGCTGGTTCCTCTGTCAAAAGGCAGGTCCAGTAAAATAATTTGCTGTAAAAGCAATAATTTGTAGATTGAGGTTTTAAATATTAGAAGCAACACTCATTGACCAGAGAGAAGTGTTTAATTAGGAAAATGTAAAAATGTCTTCTATAGAGATTTAAACAATGAACTTCATACTTTAAGGTCATTAGGAACATTATAAGAGTGAGCATGGTTTTTGTAGGTTTGTTTAGGATGATTTTTATTGCAGAACATAAATTTGCTTCCTGGATTCAAAGATCAAGTGTAATGTAACTTGGGAAACTTTGTAGGTGTTTTCAGGACCAAGAAGGTGTGTTCCCCCATCAGCAATGCAGAGTGTGAGTGCATCTCAGGATTCCACTGCTTGGGGGCAGGATGCATCATGTGTGAACCGGATTGTAAACAAGGTCAAGAATTAACCAAAGAGGGTAGGTTTGCTGTTCTTCAATCTAGTGCAAGTCTGTTTATCTAGACATATGTCATTAATTTAGGTCTTGGTCCTTTTTATATAAAGTAAAACAGATTAGTAGAACCTTAAAGTAACATGCGATGAACCACTGAGTCAAGTATATGATATTTACAAAATTATTTTTCAATCAATGTAAATAATTTGAAATCACAACATTTTTATTCACCAGGATTATGCCTTTGCATACATTCTATACATATATATACAATACTCTATGTACAATTAGAATAAAAACTTTAGTCATCTTGGGGTTTCGTTTCAAGAAGCATTGTTGAACAGCCTGTGTAGATTGTATTAAGTTAATGACTTTATTATTATGTAATTATGTTCATCACAGGAAAAGTTATGAAATCATAAAAAACTCCCTTTTTTATTGTTGCTTTAATTTTTATGCAGGTTGTAAAGACTGTCGCTTTGGGACATTTAATGATCAGAAACATGGCTCCTGTCAACCCTGGACAAAGTACATATAATTTCCTTTTGCTTTCAAAATAGAGAATCTGGATTAACATTTTTGGGTTTTTTATTTATTTATTTTTTATAAAGGTTTGGTTGTTGTTTTTTTTTTAATATTTTATTTATTTATTTGTTAGAGAGAGAGAGCACAAGCAGGCAGAATGGCAGGCAGAGGAAGAAGCAGTCTCCCCATCAAGCAAGGAGACTGACTAGGGACTCGATCCCAGGACATTGGGATCCTGACCTGAACTGAAGGCAGACGCTTAACCAACTGAGCCACCCAGGCATCCCTGGGTTAACACTTTTAAAGACAAAGAATGTTATCACTGAAGTTTTAAAAAATCTCTCTGGGGCACCTGGCTGGCTCAGTCAGTGGAGCATGTGACTCTTGATCTCAGGGTCATGAGTTAAGCCCCACGTGGGCCTATCAAATATAAGCGTAGAAGAGCATATGAACAGGCAGTGTGTGAACAGTATGAGGTAGGAGTGATTTGATACAAAGTGGGCATTTTCTCCAGAAATACTGCCCAGAGCATTTAGCTCAGATTTACTAGAACTTTGTTACTGTCTGCCCCAGCTGTTCTGTTCTGTTTCCTTCCAATCTCTTTGCTGCCTCTTACCTTTCCTCACTGATCACTCAGCCCATCTTCAAGGGTGCAAGGCCAGCATTGAGGATAATACAAGAAGGGTAAATTATGTTTCCTACCCTCAAAAACACAACACCTACTTGGGCAAACAAGACCATCACAGAAGTAAAACAGCCAACAGCACACATGGGAATATGCCTGTTGACCTGTGTGATCAGGACCAGAGCTACTCAGAGTGTGGTCTGTGGACAGGTGCTGGTCCACGGACAGTCTGTGGTGTCTGGCAATTGGCGGAGTCATATGTGTCCATCAACTCTAATAAAAATTGAGGTCTTGTATTTTGTATGCCTTTGTTCTTTTTTTCATTTGATTTTCTTACTAGAAAATCATTTTGATTATTATTTTCCATTTACATTCTTAGGTATTACAAAAATATTGGTTCGTACAGATTGGGGAAGTTTTTTTTTAAAGGTCTTTCAACACAAAAGTTCAGAGAAGTCAATGAGTCTGCATGGAAAGTGGGATTGAACTGCTTTTGGAGGAAGAGTCAGTTTGCATTAGGTAAAGGGATGAGGGAAAAGACAGGACAATGGTGATGGTGATTATGGTATGTTGATGGGGATGATGATGGTGGTGATGATAGCTACCATTTATTGGGATGTGTGGGTCTGGGTTCATAACATCCAGCCCTACAAGTGTGTCCCTGGGGTCATTCATTTGCTCTTCACGATAGTCCTCGGTGCATGTATTCCTTATTTTACGGATGAGAAAACAAGCTTAGAGAGATTTTCTTAACTTGTCCATGGTCATTCTGCACAGAGACAGACCCTGGGCTCAAACCCTTGTCTGTCTGATGCCAACACATCATAAGATTAGGAACTCCTAACCCTTACGCTAGGTTGTCTGTCCTTCATATATGCCAGAGATGGTCAAATATGCTTAAGAAATTGAGGGTGAGAGACTAACCAGGCAAAACAGTCTGGGGACAGTTGTGGGACAGGGCTCCCCAGCCTGGGAAGAAAGAAGAATCCAGTTAGGTGGGTAGAATAGGGTGAATTATGGAGAACTGTGAAAGTTAGAGGAAGCCAGTCAGTCAAGTGTATGTTTTCCGTAGTATCTCTATGAACCCAGACCCACACATCTTTGTCACTAGGCTGCTTTATTGGATGGAAAATGTCAATATTTTTGATTAGAATGACCTGTACCTAAATTAATTATTTGAACTCTTTTCATTGGATGGTCTAAGCTGTTCTTTGGGTGGCAAGTCTGTACTTGTGAATGGGACAAAGGAAAGTGACGCAGTATGTGGACCAGCTTCGGCTGACTTCTCTCCAGGTATAGCCTCTGCCCCCACGCCTGCCCCTGCAAGAGATCCAGGTAGCTGGTTCATTGCTGTTGAATCAGAGTGGATGTAGTATGGCTATTCTGATTGGAATCTAAATCACCCCAATACTGTGATGCCTCACGTCTCTGCCTACGATGGGCACCTCCTGCATGCCTTCCTTGTTTTATCCTGGCATCAAGAAACCCATCAACTTTTTTCAAGTGTTTGTCATGCAATCTGAGACATACATTAGTAAGCAGAACAAGGTGAAACTACCCAGACAAATACTACACCTTTGATAATGTCAAATTAAGGGGATGATGGAGTCCCATATTTTCTATATTCTAGAGAGGCCAAGCCATTTAATTTTTGTGGGCCTCTGGAAAAATTATTTAGGTTTTTAAGAAAAGTTTTCTTATGTGCAAGCAAGTTTATTAGGTTAGCTGGTTAGAGATGTCCAAGGCACCACTTCTCCTTGTGATTAGGGGTTTACCAATGTAACTATAAATATATGTATATTTGCAAAACTGTATATCTGCATGTATTTCTCCTTTTGCTTTTTTTTTTTAAAGGTCACACCCCCCAGATCATCATCTTTCTTGCACTGACTTCGGCTGCCGTGCTGTTCCTGGTGTTCTTTCTCGTGCTCTGTTTCTCTGTTCTTAAACATGGCAGAAAGAAACTCCTGTATTTATTCAAACAACGTAAGACCAATATAAACATATTCGATATGAGCTCTTCTGAGGCAAGGCTTTTTACAGTAGAAAGGAAAAGATTATTTTTTTGGTTAGCATAGCACAGAGGTTATCAAGCAGGGGCAATTTTGCCCCCGAGGGGACATTTGGTAATGTCTGGAGACAGTTTTGATGATCACAACCTTGGGGGTGTGGAGAGCATCTAGTGAAAGGAGTCAGAGATGCTGCTGAAATTCTACAATGCACAGGAAAACAGTTACCCACCCCCCCAAGCTCTCACCAAAATCTCTGATTTAAAGAATTATCCTTCCCGCCTTCACCCCCACCTACAATACAAATGCTTTGCCAAGAGTAGTGATGAGTAATTAGTGAGTTGCAATGAAACTGTAATCCATTTTTTAAATTTTTAGGCCATTTAAAAAAACTTTCTATTTTGAAATAATTATAGGTTTGCCGGAAGTTGTAAAGACAGTACAGAAAAGTCTCGTGTCGTTCATGGGGTTACATCTTCTGTAACTAGAACACAATATGAAAACCAGACAGTTGACTTTGGCACATTGTGTGTGTCTAGCTGTGTGTCGTTTGGTCACATGTGTAGATTGGCGTAACCTCCAGCACAATCAATACAGAAGTATTCTCTCACCACCAGGATCCCCTCCTGCTGGTCCTCTGTGGTCACATACACTCCCTCCCCACTCCCTCCTGGCAGCACAATTCTGTTTTCCATCTCTACACTTTTTTTTTCAAAGATTTTATTTATTTATTTGTCAGAGACAGAGAGAGAGGGAGTACAAGCAGGGGGAGCGGCAGGCAGAGGGAGAAGCAGGCTCCCTGCTGAGCAGGGAGCCCGATGCAGGACTTGATCCCAGGACCCTAGGATCATGACCTGAGCAGAAGGCAGATGATTAACCGACTGAGCGACCCAGGTGTCCCCCATCTCTACACTTTTGTCACTTAGAGAATGTTATATAAATAGAAGCATGCAATATATAAGTGGATTATAAGCATGTGACCTTTTCAGATTAGCTTTTTTCACTCAGCTTAATGTCACTGAGATCTACCCAAGGCATGATGTGCTTCAACTGTGGGCTCTTTTTTTTGTTTTGTTTTAACCGCTGACCAGTGTTCCGTGGAATGGTTGAACCTCAGTTTGTTTGACCATTCACCAACTGAGGGACATTTTGATAGTTTCCAGTTTTTGACTATTGCATATAAAGCCTTTGTGAATAATCGAGTACAGGTTATGTGTAGACGTAAGTTTTCACATTGCTAACATAAAAGCCCAGGAGTGCAATTTCTGGGCCATATGGTTTGTTGTTTTAAGAAACTGCCGAACTACTTTCCGGAGGAGTTGTACCATTAACATTCCACCAGTGGCATATGAGCTATCCTTTTTCCTCACTCTTGCCAGCATTTTGTACTGCCACAGTTTCTTACCCAGCTGTGCGAAGAGGAATACAGTGATAGCCCACTGTGATCATTTGCCTTCCCCTAAGGGTCAAACATCTTTTCACGTACTTCTTTTTTTTTTTTTTTTTTAAGGTTTTATTTATTTGAGAGAGAGAGAGAGAGCACAAGCAGGGGCAGGGGGAGAGAATGAGGGAGAAGCAGGCTCCCCATCTAGCAAGGAGCCCGACCCTGGGATCATGACCTGAGCCAAAGGCAGACGCTTAACCGACTGAGCCACCCAGGCGCCCCTCACGTACTTATTTTACAACTGTGTATTTTCCTCAGTGAAAGGTTCTTTCATGTTTTTGGTCTATTTTCTAATTGGATTTTTGTCTGTCTTACTGTTGACATTGGAGAGCCCTTGATACCTTCTAGATGAGTCCTTCGGCAGGTGTGTGGTTTGTGTTTCTGCCCACTCTGTGGCTCGCCTTTCCCTCCTCTTCATGGAGTCTTCTGCAGAGAAAAAAATTTTAATTTTGATAAAGTACAATTTGCCAGTTTTTTTCATTTATGGAGTCATGTCTGAGAACTCTTCAAGTCCTGGATCGCAAAGATTTTTATTTTCTCCTTTCTCAATGTTTTACATTTAAATCGTGGTTTATTTTTAGTTAAGTGTTGTATAAGGTGTGAGAGGTTTAGGTCAAGAATTTTTTTTTTTTGCCTTCGATGTCCAATTGCTCCAGCGTCACTTGTTGAAAACATTATCCTTCCTCTACTGAATTGCTTTTGTGGCTTTCTCGAAAATCAGTTAATTATACTTGTGCAGGGGCTATTTCTGGTTTTTCCCTTTTGTTCCACTGTTCTGTGTGTTTATTCTCTGCCAGGACCACACTGTCTTGATTACTGTGGCTATAAAACAGTTCTTGAAAGTAGGGAGAGGGTAGATGGATTTTTCCCACTTTATTCTTCTTTTTCAACATTGTTTTAGCTATTCTACTTCCTTTGCATTTCCATATAAATTTTTAGGACAATCTTATCTGTATCTATAAGAAGTCAGCTGGGATTCTTTTTTTTTTTTT